GGAGGGAGGGAGGGAGGGAGGGAGGAAAGAAAAAAAGAAAGAAAGAAAGAAAGAAAGAAAGAAAGAAAGAAAGAAAAGAAAGAGAAAGGAAAGGAAAGGAAAGGAAAGGAAAGGAAAGGAAAGGAAAGGAAAGGAAAGGAAAGGAAAAGAAGGCACAGAGCCAGAATCCAAAGTCTCCTAGGAGTGAAGCACCATTGACACATGTGTGTTGGTTGTGGTACAGCTTGAGCAGGCTACATGGGCCTCTTTAGCTGCTTTGAGCCTCACTAGGTCTGGGTCTCATTGGAGAAGCCTGGCTGTGGTGTGCTCTCCAAAAGACCTATGGGAGGGACAAGATGCAGGACTGTGTAGCAGCAATTTCTGTCTCCTGTCCTGAGCACCGTGGGTCTGCCTGGCCCTGCTCTCATCATTGGATTCCTCCCAAACTCCAGGTGATAGAGACCAGGAAGAAGGAGGCTCCGTACATGCTCCCTGAGGATGTGTTTGTGGAGAGGCCCAGGTGAGACACATCCAAGGATTCCCAAGGCTGCTGGGCAGGAGGTGGGCAGTTTGAGGCCAGAATGGGCTGCACACCCGGAGGCTCAGGCCTCTGTGCAATAGAGAGGCTCTATGCTCAAGTGAGCAATGGAGAGCCAGGCTGGGGGTTGCGCCATAGAGATACAGGTCTGGGAGCATTGGCCAAGCACTGGCTAGAACACAGTTCTTCAGCACAGGAGCGCTCATGCAAAAGATGTTTAAAAAAACCAGAGTATCCAACAATAAGGCCCAGCTTTATAGGTGATGGCTTATCTGTGCAAGAAATAACTGATAAATAAAATTAGTGATGTTTTGGAGGAGTATTTTGTGTGAAACACTCTAGATAGTAGGCAAATACAGATCACAGAAGAGCGGTGGGGAAGGGTGTGTGTGACTGAAGCTTTCTGCACAAATGTAAATGTGATCATCTCTGGAAGTGAGATCATGGGTGATTTTTGTCTTCCTTTAGTTTCTTTGTCATTTTCCATATGAATATGTTAACTTTCATAATAGGAATGCTGTCAAGGAATCATTGTAGTTACCCACAGTTCTGCCTTGCCTCTTCTCTCCCTTATTCCCCAGGCTGTCCCAAAATCTTGATGGTGTGGTGATTGAGTTCCTCTTCCGCCAGAGTAAGATCAGTGAAGTCCTGGGGGGCAGTGGCTACAATTCAGACCGGCTCTGCCTGCCCTACATCCCTCAACTTACAGGTAGGAGCCCTGTGCCAGGGGTCCCCTGCCTGCTTTGATCTTTCATTGGCCAGGAAAGGGCCAAAATGTAAGCATTCCCAAGCCCTTTGATCACCTCCTACAGCACCTTAGGTGTTGTACAAATATCAAAAGAAAAGACACTGTGGAATTCATGGTGACATGCTGGTTTCCCAGCTCTTCTGTGGATGGAGCAGTACTTTGTGCTAGAGAGAACATGCATGGGCTACAGAACCAGAAATCCAGTTCAAGAACTCAGTGCAACTGACAGCCTAAAAAATCTTAAGATAAGTCATGGGGCACCGTTGAATTTCCATTTCCTCCACTGTGGACGTCTGTAAAGTATAAAGGCAAAGGTACTTAGTAAATGCCATGCAAGGATAGCTGCTGGTGCTGTTTACAGATGCTAGCACATATGTTGAAATACGCTTTCTGGTCAGAAGCAGCTTCTTGGTGAAGGAGGCCCAAGCATTGGAAGCTCGAAACTTACTGTTTAATAGGTCAGGGGGGTTGTATAGCAAGCAGAGGCCACAGGGAAATGGACCAGGACCTGACCCTGGCTCTCTAAAGGCTGGAATTTCAGTTTCTGTGTTCTTCTTTTCCAGATGAGGATCGCTTATCCAAGAGGAAGAGCATTGGAGAGACCATTTCCCTGCAGGTGGAGGTGGAATCCAGGAACAGCCCAGAGAAGGAAGAGGTGAATGTCCTTGTCCCTGTCCTGGTGAAGCTTCTGGAAGCCTGATGCTCCAGGGCCTCTTAAAGGCACAGGACATTGAAGGTTACATGGAAGTTAGTTTCTCAAGGGAAATGTTTTCCCGCTTGACTCTCACCATATATGTATCACTCATATCCCATCTGAAAGTGTTAGTTATTACACGAGAATGTCAGAAAAATTACCCTGGAAATGTTTGCTGGTCACCATTCCCTGCCCACAATAGGTCCATGTGCAGCCTGTTGGAAATCAGAAGGCCTAGCAGGAGAGATATGTTCATGGTGCTTCTTCAGATACAAAAGTACTTATTTTTAAAGTTAATACTTAATTTCTTGAAAGCAGTTTTAACTTCACAGAGAAATTGAGAGGAAGATGCAGTCCCTCCCACACATAACCAACCTCCCCACGACCAGTATCCACACCACAGGGGTACATGTGCTATTATGGAGGAACCTATAGGAACACACTATTGTCCCCCAAAGACCACCATTTATATTGAGAGTTCACACTTACTGTTAACAGTCTGTGGATTTGGACATGTACCCACTGCTAGAGTATCACGTAGAGTATTTTCACTGCCTGAAAATGTCCCATGCACCGTCTAGTCATCCTTCATTGCTACCCAACCATGACAACCAAGATTCTTTTTAAAGAGAAAGCCAGAGCTGTACCTTAAAGATCCTTCTTCCTTCCACCCCTTCTGGCAGCCCATGAATATCTAATTTCCATATAAGTTAACTGTGATATCTACTATTATTTCATTTGTCCACCTCAGCAAATGAGGCACATGTACCCAAGAGTAAGAAAGCACAGTGCAAATACCAAAGTTACTGCCCTAAGTGAGAAAGAAAAGGGAGTGATGAGAGGAGAGGAAAAGCAGTCAGGAGGTGTTGAGCACAGCTTTTCTTTATGGTTACTGCCCCCATGGAAGTCAACAGAGCAAAGGGTAAGGCGGAGACAGCAAGGCCTGCATGGGGCTTGGGCTGGGGGACACTGGCACTCCCAAGTGCTTACACGCGTTAAGGCTGATCCAACCTAGACCACAGCTTTGCCAGCGAGTCTTTCCCCAGATATGATCAGAGGGCAGAAGTCTTTGGGGGCCAGGATCAAGCCTCATTCCAACCATACCCTTGACCAGTTCATTTAATGGAGTAGACCCCCAGCTGGATGGCAGGAAGCTGTGGCTTAGGCTAATTGAACAAGTGAGGTGAGGAGGTAGAACCAGGGGCCTCCAGGGAGCTCCCAGCTCTCAGAGACCAGGAAGCTCCATTGTATCAGGCCTCAGGGGAAGCTGCCAGCTGTCTCCCTGCAGAGAGGATTCTCCTGGCCTGAGAGTTAGGAAAGAGACTCTCAGAAGTGATGAGTTAAGGGAAGCTGAAAGAGGAGGAGAAATGCTTATCCTGCCACAGGCAAGGCCACCTAACCCCTGGAGGCCATGCGGGATCTTCTCTGGCTCCTTTGATCTTCTAGCTGCATCCTCCTGTGCCTAGCTCTAGTTCTGTTTCTGTCATACGCTTCTCTCTCCTGCTCTTGCCCAGTGATTGTTGCACCATATGGCCCCCCAGCGATTTGCGCATGAGTATCTGATGTTGGCTGCACTGCCCATGCCTGAGTGGATGAATCCTCAGAACAGAGCAGGGCTTGGCACAGCAGTTCCTCTGCTGACAGAGTCCTATCACCAAGTCCTGAGTGTTCATTGCTCCAGTGGCCCTGCATCTGCACTGTTGTTTCTAAGGGAGCCACCAACCTGAGCTGTGTCCCTCACTGAACTGTGTGTTAGTGAAGTCATTTTCTCCTATGTCTACTTTTTCCCGTTATGTTTAAGTGATGGAGTGTGAGCCCATCGTGAGTTCAGTGGGAAGTGCTGAAACTCAGTCCACTTCGGACCTCAGGTCCTGTCGTCAGAGCGCCCTTCTATGGGTTCTCTTATACCTTACCTTTCACAGACCCTGAAAATGAAAAGAATGAGACCCTGCAGCCCAGCTACTGGCACTGGCCTCAGCAATGGAGGGCTCCACAATGTCTGTCCATCATGCATTTCTTATTAAATTTTTATAAGTTTTTATTTATTTTTATACAAGGTCTCCCTACACAGTTCAAACTAATAGTGATCCTCCTGTCTCAGCCTCCCTAGCACTGGGATTATAGGCATGTACCACCATACCCAGTTTCAAGGCCAGCATGGCATACCCAGGGTCCTGGGGCCAGCACCACATACAGTACCAGGGATCAAACTCAGGTCCTTGCACTTGCCAGGCAGGTGCTTAGACCGCCAAGCTATCTCCCCAGCCCTCGTCATGCATTTCTTAGCTCTAATAAATCCTCAGATCACCTCAGCAGCAAATTAATAACTCCTAGTGCAGTCTTGGAGTTGGCATCGCATTTACCAACTGCCTCCTTCTCTTGTTCCAAGTAGTTTTTGTTGATCTCTGATGACTTTTTAAAGATTACATGGTATTCTGCTGCCACACGCTTGCTGTGACAGGCAGTGAGTTCTCTGGGGTGAGTCTTGAAGCTCCTTTCCGAGGTCACACCAGAGAAGTCACACGAGAGGCCTGCCCACCTGCACCTGGCTGGCCTCCTCCATGCTTCTCAGGGCAGGTGGGAGACCTGGGGAGAGGCCCGCTGCCTCTCCTCCTCCTCCTCTGAGCACATCTGTCCTCTCCCCTGCAGCGTGTGCCGGCTGAGGAGATCACCTATGAGACACTGAAGAAGGCCATTGGTGAGTGCCCCAGGGACTCAGGTGGGAGGCGAGGGCTCCTGATCTGCTGCTCTTCCTGGTGTGACTCAGCGGAGGGCCTAGGGCACAGGCCTTGGCTTCCTCCAGAGTCAGTGCAGCCACCAGAGCTGCAGCTGAACCCCCACTCTCCTCATGGTGGTCACTCATGTCGCCCTATATACCCCCTTTAGGCGGTCCTATTTCTATTGATGGCAGCTGCCTCTAAAAGTAGTCAACTGAGGCTATCGAGAGTGGTGCACTTTCTGACTATTCCTACCCACTGCTTGCCTTTTTTTTTTTCCCCTTCCTTTTTTCACTGGGGATTAAATCCAGGGCCTCCCAGAGTGCTGAGAAGACAGATATGTGCCACTGTGCCTGGCTGGCTTGTCTTCTGAAAATGAACGTAGCAAACATATCTGACTACGTGCCCCACAATACCCACACACTTTTTTGGAGGGTACTGTCTCATTTGGGATACCAAGTGGCACATATAAAACCTTAAGCTAAATTGCCTCAGACTGCTCCACTATGGTGGCTGTGTTGACTTTGCTGGTCATCTGGCTTTTTCTATTGTTGATGTCCCCTTTCAAATTACCCTCTATACTAAAAGCACCAACTATTCCAGGACTTTCTGTTTAAGAGTCCTAGCAGCAACTCTGCTGCTTAGCACTCTAAAAGCCCAGCTTGTTCTGAAAATCAAAGAGAGCTGAGCCTCAGGCAGAACCAAAAGGAAGTCTTGCCTCTCTGGGACACCACTGTCCCTTATGCTTAGCAGGGGACAGAGCACTATGAAAAGATCACTCACCTCTCTGCCTCTTGAGTCCCTCCTTGTCCTCCTCAGAGGGCAGGACCTGAGTGCTCAACCAGCTCTTGGTGTTCCTGTCACAGTGGACAGTGTAGCTGTGGAGGAGCAGGAGCGTGAGCGGCGGCGACAGGTGGTAGAGAAATTCCAGAAGGCGCCCTTCGAGGAGATCGCAGCCCACTGTGGGGCCCGGGTGAGTGGAGCATTTACAGGCCAAGCCAGACAGACCAGATGTGGGCCCAGAGCAGATCTGAGTCTAAGCCAGACCTTCCTTGTTTATTGTCCTCTAGAAATTAGGGCTTAGCATCCAGGACAGAAAACTGTTTTGGTTTTTTTTTCAATACTAGAGATCAAACTCAGGACCTTGTGCTTGCTAAACAGATGCTTATGCCACTGAGCTATATCACTGGCCCTAGAAAACTCTATTGTCCCAACACCCTAGATTGTTCCCTGTGAACCCAAAGCCTTGTGTGTTCACTGAACATTCTTCAGATCACAGTTTTCAGATGAGAGACATCCTGGCCTCGGGAGCCCCAGCACCACACTGTCCAATCAAACGGCATTCACCACTCACCAGGGCTCCTTTCACTTACCAGCTTATTTTATCCTCCTAACTTGGCGAGCTTGTGTTGGTATGATCCCATTATAGCGCAGTGGGAGGACAAGTGGCAGAGGAGAGATGGGCAGCACTTGGAGCACGGCCCTATTCTGGCAGGGCATCTAGCAGGGCTTCAGAAGAGAGATCTGTAAGTGAAGGAGCCAGACAAGTAGGGATGGCCCCCCGGGCCTGACCGTGACACTGACCACAGGCCAGGATTCCTTAGCCACTGTGCCATCCTGTTGAGAAACAATGTGACATGACCACAGTATTCCAAGCCTGCAAATAATGCTTGATGTCAATACAAATGCATGCCATTTTATGTTTACTTTTTTGGTTGTTTTTTTTTTTTTGAGACAGGTCTTGTTATGTAGTTCAGGCTCAAATTACCCTCGGTACTAAAGAGGGTAATCCCCACCTTTCCCCATGGCTGGGGTCAGACCCAGTGTCTCGTAGGTGATCTCCTCAGCCGGCCTCAGACTCATGAAAATCCTCCTGTCTTAGTCTCTGTAGTGCTAGGATTATAGGTGTGTACTACCACACTGGGCTTTTATGTGTACTTATTTAATCATATATTTTATTTTATTTTATTTTATTTTATTTATTTATTTTTTGGCGGAACCGGGGATTGAACTCAGGCCCTTGCGCTTGCCAGGGAAGCGTTTATTCTACTGAGCCATCTCCCCGGCCCCTAATCATATATTTTATATGTGTATAGAAAATAGATTTTCCAGGGGCCAGGGAGATGGCTCAGTGGAATAAGCGCCTCCCTGGCAAGCGTAAGGGCCTGAGTTCAATCCCCGGTTTCGCCAAAAAAAAGAAAATAGATTTTCCAACCTATATTAGCCTACAAATTTCTCACCGCATTTTAAGAGGCAGACTCTGCCTATTTCATGAACCAGGAGTTGAAGCCCACTCAGTGAACACATAAGAGTTGGGAAAGAACCTGCAGTAGCAAAATCCCCTGATCCCATCCAGAATTGTGGGGCAAAGGTCTTGAAACTCTGGAATTGCTGTCAAAGTCTTGCCTGGTTTTTCTGGTCCTTTGTCCTGTCCCCACCCAGCCTTCAACAGATGGCTGGCCTGACCTATATCCACAGTCAGGGTCCAGCAGACAAGTGCTGGGAAAAGTTCACACCGGAGTCTTCCTGTGGCCGCCACTGCCTCGCACTGCCAGTGTCCCTGGATGGATGACTTATGATTCTTCCTGTAGGGTACTGGGGAGCCCCAACTCACTGTCCCTCTGTTTGCGTCTAGGCATCACTGCTACAGAGCAGACTCAACCAGATCTTTGAAATCACCATACGGTGAGTAGCAGCCCTGAGCAGGAGATCCCCACCTTTCCCCAGGGCTGGGGTCAGCAACCAGCTCTCCTATACAAGAAAAATGGTGATCGAAGAGGCCTGGAAAGAGCCAGGGTTGCTCGTATCCCAGGCAGGTGCTTCATTTGAAAGCAGCTGTGTCCCAGTGCACCCTGCAGAGAACTTAGACTGAGCTGTAGATTCTTGGAGCAACCTAAGAATCGGGGAGCCTGAGGGATGACCAGGTCTCCAGTGCCAGACAAAGAGAAACCCAAATCAGTTGTTATGTTTAGTTGCACAGAGAGGGGACCCCTGAATTGCCACCTCATGTAGAGTCTTCTCCATATCTTTCCCCAGGCCCCCACCAAGCCCGTCAGGAACCATCACCGCTGCCTACGGCCAACCACAGAACCACTCCATACCCGTCTACGAGATGAAGTTTCCTGACCTGTGTGTATACTGAGCTCCTGGAAATGAAGCTTCTCGCAGGGATGGGGTCTGAGGGAAGGGCTAACCCTCATGCCCACCCCTGCCTCTGAAAATCTAGCTGGGATCTCTGACAGTTGCCTCCTCCCCAGCTAAGTAAAGGCGAAGCCTCCAGGTCCCTCCGGAACTTCATGGCCCTCCTGCCTCCGCCTCGCCTTCCCTGAGGAAGATCCAGCCACCTGCCCCTCTGGGGCCACGAGCATCTCATCTGTGCCCGACTCTTTTGTCAGCCAGGGATGGAGATCGTGGGGTTGTCTCTAGAGGGAAGGGGTGGGGGGAGTTCTTCTTGTGTGGTGGGTGAAGGGCTTCCACTAAGCTGCAACTCGGGGCACATCCAGCATCCCCAGAGGAGGCAACCAGCTGGAGACTTGGTTGGGCCAGGCAAGAACCAAGGCAAACTACCCTGGGAAGGGAGAGGTGAGAGCTGGAGATGGCGCTGTCCTCCCCATCAGTGCGTACCTCACCCTCGGGTTGTAGGAGTCTCTTCCATTCTAGCTGGCCCTCCGGTTGTCTGCTCTTTCTTTCTATTGTTGCTGAACATTGAGCCTTTTGTAGCTAGGGACAAGCCAGGTGGGGTTGTAAAGGTGAAGGGGGAACAGGCTTGGGGGTGGAAAGGGGCTAGTTCTGCCTCCAGTTCCAAGCACGGGTGGGACAAATTGTGTTCTTCTATAGCATCTCTCCATTGTTCAGAGGGGACTTGTGGGTGGTTCTCTGTCTTCTGAATGTTTCTCTGAGTTAGTTGGGTTCTCTGTGTATTTTTTTCTTCTAAGGACTCTAAGGAGTTTCTACAACTTTTGGGTTGAAGGAAGGCAGAAAAAAAGATAGTCTAGTTCAGTGATGGCAAATCTTTTGGAGCTTTCAATAGTAACAAACTACCAGCTATGGCACGCCTGCCATAGGCTCTCCACCACTGGTCTAATTCTAGAAGACTCAAGAGGGGAGGCAGTGCAGGGCTGTGAGGCCTGTCAACGGCACCTCCAAGGACCATGCTCCCAGCTGGGCTGGGGACGCAAGGTGAGGGACAAGTCTGGCAAGTGACCCTTGGAGGCTCAGAAGCCCGCCTTTTGGATGTTCCAGTGGAGGAGAGGGAATTAGCGCCTACTATTCAAGTGATTTCTTCATGCTCTGGAAAAGTGGGACACCGATGCTCTCTGGCCTCGCTTAAAGCTTAGGGAGAGACAATGGAGACCCCTTTAGGTTCTGGGCTTCAGTTTTCCCTGAGTGCCACCTGCCTGTCCCTGAGTGCAGCAAGCTCAGAGCCAGGCAAAGTGTGAAAAAGGCCACTTGCTGCGCTCTGCACCGTTCCCTTTTCTGACCCTTCCTCTGAGTGCCTTTGGGTATCCAGATGGCCTCTGGAAGAAGCAGCCCCTTCTAGTCCAGAGGAGCCCTTTCTTTTCTTTCCAAACTTTTATAACTTTCCTGAGCTGACATAACCGCAGTGAGGTGTGAATGGTCAGATATACCTTCCAAGGAGAATTTGCTTTTGAAAGGGGGGAGAATGGGTAGATATGTGGACCCACAGGAACCCCTTTTTAGGGTATTTTAGCTGTACGGCAAGGGGTCAGAAGGAGGCTATTTGTGCTCAGGGCAGGCAGGCTTCTCAGGATACCTTCAGGTCACATCCCTGCACAGTGACCAACCACCAGGGCAGATGAGTGCATCTTCCAAAATCAGCAAAACCCTGACACACTGCACTGCAGTGAATTTGCGGGGGAGGGGCCGCCTGAGCCTTCCTCCTTGTAGCGTGTAGTTCCCACACTTCTGGTGCATCTCTTCCCCAGGGTCACTGTCCCAGCGCTGTGGGCGTGTGGATTCTGCATGGCCTGCATGATCACAGACCTGGGCTGGCGGGAGGCTCCTGCTCCCCAAGGCTTTGGGACAATATTTTATGGCTTTTATGTAACTTATGCTCAACCCAACTCCACAAGCATGAATTTAGATTTCTCTCTAATATCTTATGATTAAGAAACCAAGTTTAAAATAGCTTTAAACAAACTAAAGGCAAATAACCTAGAAAAAAAAAAACTAAAGAAAATCTAAACCTTGAGCCGCAAAGGTCTTCCCTCACCAGATCTTTCCATCTCTTATCCCATGCTTGGGTAACATAGGGGACTGTGTGTGTCTTCCTTGTACCTGGCTGGCACTCAGGATCTTTCCGGTGGCACCTTTGCCTGAGTACTTCACCCTGAGCACTGCCCTGAACC